GCTGGAGGACTGAGGTGTGGGGCTGGAGGACTGAGATGTGGGGCTGGAGGACTGAAATGTGGGGCTGGAGGACTGAGGTGTGGGGCTGGAGGACTGAGATGTGGGGCTGGAGGACTGAAATGTGGGGCTGGAGGACTGAAATGTGGGGCTGGAGGACTGAGGTGTGGGGCTGGAGGACTGAGGTGTGGGGCTGGAGGACTGAGGTGTGGGGCTGGAGGACTGAAATGTGGGGCTGGAGGACTGGGATGTGGGGCTGGAGGACTGAGATGTGGGGCTGGAGGACTGAGATGTGGGGCTGGAGGACTGAGATGTGGGGCTGGAGGACTGAAATGTGGGGCTGGAGGACTGAAATGTGGGGCTGGAGGACTGAGATGTGGGGCTGGAGGACTGAGGTGTGGGGCTGGAGGACTGAAATGTGGGGCTGGAGGACTGAGATGTGGGGCTGGAGGACTGAGATGTGGGGCTGGAGGACTGAGGTGTGGGGCTGGAGGACTGAGATGTGGGGCTGGAGGACTGAGGTGTGGGGCTGGAGGACTGAGGTCTGGGGCTGGAGGACTGAAATGTGGGGCTGGAGGACTGAAATGTGGGGCTGGAGGACTGAAATGTGGGGCTGGAGGACTGAGATGTGGGGCTGGAGGACTGAGGTGTGGGGCTGGAGGACTGAGATGTGGGGCTGGAGGACTGAGATGTGGGGCTGGAGGACTGAGGTGTGGGGCTGGAGGACTGAAATGTGGGGCTGGAGGACTGAGGTGTGGGGCTGGAGGACTGAAATGTGGGGCTGGAGGACTGAGATGTGGGGCTGGAGGACTGAGATGTGGGGCTGGAGGACTGAGATGTGGGGCTGGAGGACTGAAATGTGGGGCTGGAGGACTGAGGTGTGGGGCTGGAGGACTGAAATGTGGGGCTGGAGGACTGAGATGTGGGGCTGGAGGACTGAAATGTGGGGCTGGAGGACTGAGGTGTGGGGCTGGAGGACTGAGATGTGGGGCTGGAGGACTGAGATGTGGGGCTGGAGGACTGAAATGTGGGGCTGGAGGACTGAGATGTGGGGCTGGAGGACTGAGATGTGGGGCTGGAGGACTGAGGTGTGGGGCTGGAGGACTGAAATGTGGGGCTGGAGGACTGAGATGTGGGGCTGGAGGACTGAGGTGTGGGGCTGGAGGACTGAAATGTGGGGCTGGAGGACTGAGATGTGGGGCTGGAGGACTGAGGTGTGGGGCTGGAGGACTGAAATGTGGGGCTGGAGGACTGAAATGTGGGGCTGGAGGACTGAGATGTGGGGCTGGAGGACTGGGATGTGGGGCTGGAGGACTGAAATGTGGGGCTGGAGGACTGAAATGTGGGGCTGGAGGACTGAGGTGTGGGGCTGGAGGACTGAAATGTGGGGCTGGAGGACTGAGGTGTGGGGCTGGAGGACTGAGATGTGGGGCTGGAGGACTGAAATGTGGGGCTGGAGGACTGAGATGTGGGGCTGGAGGACTGAAATGTGGGGCTGGAGGACTGAAATGTGGGGCTGGAGGACTGAGGTGTGGGGCTGGAGGACTGAGGTGTGGGGCTGGAGGACTGAAATGTGGGGCTGGAGGACTGAAATGTGGGGCTGGAGGACTGAGATGTGGGGCTGGAGGACTGAGGTGTGGGGCTGGAGGACTGAAATGTGGGGCTGGAGGACTGAAATGTGGGGCTGGAGGACTGAGGTGTGGGGCTGGAGGACTGAGGTCTGGGGCTGGAGGACTGAGATGTGGGGCTGGAGGACTGAGATGTGGGGCTGGAGGACTGAAATGTGGGGCTGGAGGACTGAAATGTGGGGCTGGAGGACTGAGATGTGGGGCTGGAGGACTGAAATGTGGGGCTGGAGGACTGAGATGTGGGGCTGGAGGACTGAAATGTGGGGCTGGAGGACTGAAATGTGGGGCTGGAGGACTGAGATGTGGGGCTGGAGGACTGAAATGTGGGGCTGGAGGACTGGGATGTGGGGCTGGAGGACTGAAATGTGGGGCTGGAGGACTGAGGTGTGGGGCTGGAGGACTGAAATGTGGGGCTGGAGGACTGAAATGTGGGGCTGGAGGACTGAGATGTGGGGCTGGAGGACTGAAATGTGGGGCTGGAGGACTGAGATGTGGGGCTGGAGGACTGAAATGTGGGGCTGGAGGACTGAGATGTGGGGCTGGAGGACTGAAATGTGGGGCTGGAGGACTGAGATGTGGGGCTGGAGGACTGAGATGTGGGGCTGGAGGACTGAGGTGTGGGGCTGGAGGACTGAGGTGTGGGGCTGGAGGACTGAAATGTGGGGCTGGAGGACTGAGATGTGGGGCTGGAGGACTGAAATGTGGGGCTGGAGGACTGAGGTGTGGGGCTGGAGGACTGAGGTGTGGGGCTGGAGGACTGAGATGTGGGGCTGGAGGACTGAGATGTGGGGCTGGAGGACTGAGATGTGGGGCTGGAGGACTGAAATGTGGGGCTGGAGGACTGAGATGTGGGGCTGGAGGACTGAGGTGTGGGGCTGGAGGACTGAGATGTGGGGCTGGAGGACTGAAATGTGGGGCTGGAGGACTGAGGTCTGGGGCTGGAGGACTGAGATGTGGGGCTGGAGGACTGAAATGTGGGGCTGGAGGACTGAAATGTGGGGCTGGAGGACTGAGGTGTGGGGCTGGAGGACTGAAATGTGGGGCTGGAGGACTGAGATGTGGGGCTGGAGGACTGAGGTGTGGGGCTGGAGGACTGAAATGTGGGGCTGGAGGACTGAAATGTGGGGCTGGAGGACTGAGATGTGGGGCTGGAGGACTGAAATGTGGGGCTGGAGGACTGAGATGTGGGGCTGGAGGACTGAGATGTGGGGCTGGAGGACTGAGATGTGGGGCTGGAGGACTGAAATGTGGGGCTGGAGGACTGAAATGTGGGGCTGGAGGACTGAAATGTGGGGCTGGAGGACTGAGGTGTGGGGCTGGAGGACTGAGATGTGGGGCTGGAGGACTGAAATGTGGGGCTGGAGGACTGAGATGTGGGGCTGGAGGACTGAAATGTGGGGCTGGAGGACTGAGATGTGGGGCTGGAGGACTGAGATGTGGGGCTGGAGGACTGAAATGTGGGGCTGGAGGACTGAGATGTGGGGCTGGAGGACTGAAATGTGGGGCTGGAGGACTGAGATGTGGGGCTGGAGGACTGAGATGTGGGGCTGGAGGACTGAAATGTGGGGCTGGAGGACTGAAATGTGGGGCTGGAGGACTGAGATGTGGGGCTGGAGGACTGAAATGTGGGGCTGGAGGACTGAGATGTGGGGCTGGAGGACTGAGATGTGGGGCTGGAGGACTGAGGTGTGGGGCTGGAGGACTGAAATGTGGGGCTGGAGGACTGAGATGTGGGGCTGGAGGACTGAGATGTGGGGCTGGAGGACTGAAATGTGGGGCTGGAGGACTGAGGTGTGGGGCTGGAGGACTGAAATGTGGGGCTGGAGGACTGAAATGTGGGGCTGGAGGACTGAGGTGTGGGGCTGGAGGACTGAAATGTGGGGCTGGAGGACTGAAATGTGGGGCTGGAGGACTGGGATGTGGGGCTGGAGGACTGAGGTGTGGGGCTGGAGGACTGAGGTGTGGGGCTGGAGGACTGAGATGTGGGGCTGGAGGACTGAGATGTGGGGCTGGAGGACTGAAATGTGGGGCTGGAGGACTGAAATGTGGGGCTGGAGGACTGAAATGTGGGGCTGGAGGACTGAGATGTGGGGCTGGAGGACTGAAATGTGGGGCTGGAGGACTGAGATGTGGGGCTGGAGGACTGAGGTGTGGGGCTGGAGGACTGAAATGTGGGGCTGGAGGACTGAAATGTGGGGCTGGAGGACTGAGATGTGGGGCTGGAGGACTGAAATGTGGGGCTGGAGGACTGAAATGTGGGGCTGGAGGACTGAGGTGTGGGGCTGGAGGACTGAGGTGTGGGGCTGGAGGACTGAAATGTGGGGCTGGAGGACTGAGATGTGGGGCTGGAGGACTGAGATGTGGGGCTGGAGGACTGAGGTGTGGGGCTGGAGGACTGAAATGTGGGGCTGGAGGACTGGGATGTGGGGCTGGAGGACTGAAATGTGGGGCTGGAGGACTGAGGTGTGGGGCTGGAGGACTGAGATGTGGGGCTGGAGGACTGAAATGTGGGGCTGGAGGACTGAGATGTGGGGCTGGAGGACTGAAATGTGGGGCTGGAGGACTGAAATGTGGGGCTGGAGGACTGAAATGTGGGGCTGGAGGACTGAAATGTGGGGCTGGAGGACTTGGGGGCGGGGTTGGAGGACTGGGGGGCGGGGTTGGAGGACTTACAGGCGGGGTTGGAGGACTGAGGGTCGCTATTGGGGTTTCGCAATGAGGTTGGGAAGAGGGGCGGGGTTGGAGGACTTTGGGGCGGGGTTGGAGGACTGGGGGGCGGGGCTGGAGGACTGGGGGCGGGGCTGGGGGATGGGGGGCGGGGCTGGAGGACTGGGGGCGGGGTTGGAGGACTTGGGGGCGGGGTTGGAGGACTGGAGGCGGGGCTGGAGGACTGAGGGGCGGGGCTGGAGGACTTAGGGTCGCTATTGGGGTTTCACATTGAGGTTGGGAATGGGGGCGGGGTTGGAGGACTTGGGGGCGGGGCTGGAGGACTGAGGGGTGGGGCTGGAGGACTGGGGGCGGGGCTGGAGGACTGAGGGGCGGGGTTGGAGGACTTAGGGTCACTGTTAGGGTTGAAGCAATGAGGTTGGGAATGGGGGCGGGGTTGGAGGACTTGGCTGCGTGGCTGGAGGACTGGGGGCGGGGTTGGAGGACTGGGGGGCGGGGCTGGAGGACTGGGGGAGGGGTTGGAGGACTGGAGGCGGGGTTGGAGGACTGGGGGGCGGGGTTGGAGGACTGGGGGTGGGGCTGGAGGACTGGGGGGCGGGGCTGGAGGACTGGGGGCGGGGCTGGAGGACTGGGGGCGGGGCTGGAGGACTGCGGGGCGGGGTTGGAGGACTTAGGGTCACTGTTAGGGTTGAAGCAATGAGGTTGCGAATGGGGGCGGGGTTGGAGGACTTGGGGGCGGGGTTGGAGGACTGGGGGCGGGGTTGGAGGACTTAGGGGCGGGGCTGGAGGACCAAAGGCGCGTTGTGATTGGCAGGCATCGTGCTGGTGGCCATCAACCCCTACGAGGAGCTGCCCATCTATGGGGACGACGTCATCTGGGCCTACAGCGGCCACAGCCGGGGCGACATGGACCCACACATCTATGGGGTGGCCGAAGAGGCCTACAGGAGGATGGCCAGGTGAGCAGGGGGGGTTATGGGGGATTTAGGGGGTCTTATGGGGTCCTATGGGGTTCTATGGGGTCCTATGGGGTCTTATGGGGTCCTATGGGGTCCTATGGGGTCCTATGGGGTCTCAGGGGGTTTTATGGGGTCTTAAGGGGTTCTATGGGGTGCTATAGGGTTTTATGGGGTCTCAGGGGGTTCTATGGGGTCTTATGGGGTCCTATGGGGTCTTATGGGGTCTTATGGGGGATTTATGGGGTCCTATGGGGTCCTATGGGGTCTTATGGGGTCTTATGGGGTCCTATGGGGTCTTATGGGGTCTCAGAGGGTTCTATGGGGTCTTATGGGGTCCTATGGGGTCTTATGGGGGATTTATGGGGTCACAGGGGGTTTTATGGGGTTTTATGGGGGCCTATGGGGTGCTATGGGGTTTTATTGGGTGCTATGGGGTCTTATGGTGTCCTGGGAGGTCTTATGGGGTCTTATGGGGTGCTATGGGGTTCTATGGGGTCGTATGGTATCTTGTGGGGTCTTATAGGGTTCTATGGGGTCTTATGGGGTCCTATAGGTTCCTATGGGGTCTTATGGGGTCTGATGGGTTCCTGTGGGGTCTTATTGGGGTCTTAGAGGGTCCTATGGGGTTCTGTGGGGTCCTATAAGGTGCTATGAGGTTTTATGGGGTCCTATGGGGTCTTATGGGTTTTTATGGTGTGCTATGGGGGATTTATGGGGTCTTATGGGGTCCTATGGGGTCCTATGGGGTCTTATGGGGGATTTATGGGGTCTTATGGGGTGCTTTGGGGTCCTATGGGGTTTTATGGGGTTCTATGGGGTCTTGTGGTGTCCTATGGGGTCTTATGGGGTTCTATGGGGTCCCATCGGGTCCTATGGGGTCCTGGGGGGTCTTATGGGGTCCTATAGGTTCCTATGGGGTCTTAGGGGGTCTGATGGGTTTCTGTGGGGTCTTATTGGGGTCTTAGAGGGTCCTATGGGGTTCTATGGGGTCCTGTGGGGTGCTACGGTGTTCTGTGGGGTCCTATGGGGTCCTATGGGGTTTTATGGGGTCTTTTGGGGTTCTATGGGGTCTTATGGGGTCTTATGGCATCCTATGGGGTCCTATGGGGTGCTATGAGGTTTTATGGGGTCCTATGGGGTCTTATGGGGGATTTATGGGGTCTTATGGGGTTGTATGGGGTTCTATGGGGTCTCAGGTGGATCTATGGGGTCTTATGGGGTCCTATGGGGTTTTATGGGGTGCTTTGGGGTCCTATGGGGTCTTATGGGGTCCTATGGGGTCTTATGGGGCATTTATGGGGTCTTATGGGGTCCTATGGGGTCTTATGGGGTCTCAGGGGTTTCTATGGGGCCTTATGGGGTCCTATGGGGTCTTATGGGGGATTTAGGGGGTCACAGGGGGTTTTATGGGGTCCTATGGGGTCCTATGGGGTCCTATGGGGTCTCAGGGGGTTCTATGGGGTTTTATGGGGTCCTATGGGGTCCTGTGAGGTCCTATGGGGTCTTATGGGGTCCTATGGGGTCCTTTGGGGTCTTATGGGGTCTTATGGGGTCCTATTGGGTCTTATGGGGTCCTCTGGGGTCTTATGGGGTGCTTTGGGGTCCTATGGGGTCTTATGGGGGATCTATGGGGTCTTATGGGGTCCTATGGGGTCTTATGGGGGATTTATGGGGTCACAAGGGGTTTTATGGGGTTGTATGGGGTTCTATGGGGTTCTATGGGGTGCTATGGGGTTTTATTGGGTGCTATGGGGTCTTATGGTGTCCTATGGGGTCTTATAGGGTGCTATGGGGTCCTATGGAGTTTTAGAGGGTCCTATGGGGTCTTATGGGGTTCCGTGGGGTCCTGTGAGGTCCTATGGGGTCTTATGGGGTGTTATGGGGGTTTATGGGGTCACAGGGGGTTTTATGGGGTCCTATGGGGTCTTATGGGGTGTTATGGGGTCTCAGGGGGTTCTATGGGGTTTTATGGGGTCCTATGGGGTTCTTTAGGCTGCTATGGGGTGCTATGGGGTCTTATGGGGTCCTATGGGGTCCTTTGGGGTCTTATGGGGTCTTATGGGGTCCTATTGGGTCTTATGGGGTCCTCTGGGGTCTTATGGGGTGCTTTGGGGTCCTATGGGGTCTTATGGGGGATCTATGGGGTCTTATGGGGTCCTATGGGGTCTTATGGGGGATTTATGGGGTGTTTTGGGGTGCTATGGGGACTTATGGGGTCCTATGGGGTCTTATGGGGGATTTATGGGGTCTTATGGGGTGCTTTGCGGTTCTATGGGGTCTCAGGGGGATCTATGGGGTTATATGGGGTCCTATGGGGTCTTATGGGGTTTTATGGGGTGCTTTGGGGTCCTATGGGGTCTCAGGGGGATCTATGGGGTCTTATGGGGTCCTATGGGGTCTTATGGGGTTTTATGGGGTGCTTTGGGGTCCTATGGGGACTTATGGGGTCCTATGGGGTCTTATGGGGGATTTATGGGGTCCTATGGGGTCCTATGGGGTCTTAAGGGGTCTCAGGGGGTTCTATGGGGTCTTATGGGGTCCTATGGGGTCTTATGGGGGATTTATGGGGTCACAAGGGGTTTTACGGGGTTGTATGGGGTTGTATGGGGTTCTATGGGGTGCTATGGGGTTTTATTGGGTGCTATGGGGTCTTATGGTGTCCTATGGGGTCTTATAGGGTGCTATGGGGTCCTATGGAGTTTTAGAGGGTCCTATGGGGTCTTATGGGGTCCCGTGTGGTCCTGTGGGGTCCTATGAGGTCTTATGGGGTCTTATGGGGGATTTATGGGGTCACAGGGGGTTTTATGGGGTCCTATGGGGTCCTATGGGGTCTCAGGGGGTTCTATGGGGTTTTATGGGGTCCTATGGGGTTCTGTAGGGTGCTATGGGGTCCTATGGGATCTTATGGGGTCCTATTGGATCCTATGGGGTCCTGTGAGGTCCTATGGGGTCTTATGGGGTCCTATGGGGTCCTTTGGGGTCCTATGGGGTCTTATGGGGTCCTATGGGGTCCTTTGGGGTTTTTTTGGGTCTTATGGGGTCCTATGGGGTCTTATGGGGTCCTCTGGGGTCTTATTGGGGTCTTAGGGGGTCCTATGGGTTCTTGTGGAGTCCTATGGGGTCTTATGGGGTTCTATGGGGTCCTATTGTGTCTTATGGGGTCTTATGGGGTCCTATGGGGTTTTATCGGGTCTTATGGGGTCTTATCAGGTCTGATGTGTTCCTGTTGGGTCTTATTGGGGTCTTATGGGGTCTTATGGGGTTCTATGGGGTCCTCTGGGGTCTTATTTGGTCCTATGGGGTCTTATGGGGTTTTATGGGGTGCTTTGGGGTCCTATGGGGTCTTATGGGGGATTTATGGGGTCTTATGGGGTGCTTTGGGGTCCTATGGGGTCTCAGGGGGATCTATGGGGTCTTATGGGGTCCTATGGGGTCTTATGGGGTCTCAGGGGGTCCTATGGGGTCTTATGGGGGATTTATGGGGTCACAGGGGGTTTTATGGCGTTGTATGGGGTTCTATGGGGTGCTATGGGGTTTTATTGGGTGCTATGGGGTCTTATGGTGTCCTGGGAGGTCTTATGGGGTCTTATGGGGTGCTATGGGGTTCTGTGGGGTCGTATGGTATCTTGTGGGGTCTTATAGGGTCCTATGGGGTCTTTGGACTCCTATGGGGTCTTATGGGCTCTGATGGGTTCCAATGGGGTCTTATTGGGCCCTGTGAGGTCCTGTGGCATCCTATGGGTTCTTATGGGGCTCTTTGGGGTCCTATGGGCTCCTATGGGCTCCTATGGGGTCCTATGGGGTTCTATGGGGTCTTATGGGGTCTTATGGGGTCCTGTGGGGTCTTATGGGGTTCTATGAGGTGCTATGTGATCTGTGGGGTCCAATGGGGTCTTATGGGGTACTGTGGGGTCCTATGGGGTCTTATGGGGTGCTATGGGGTCCTGTGGGGTTCTGTGGGGTCCTATGGGGTCCTATGGGGTGCTATGGGGTTCTATGGGGTTGTATGGGGTCTGTTGGGTCCAATGGGATCTTATGGGGTCTTATCGGGTCCTATGGGGTGCTATGGGGTTCTATGGGGTTGTATGGGGTCTGTTGGGTCCAATGGGATCTTATGGGGTCTGTGGGGTGCTATGGGGTCTTATGGGCTCTTATGGGGTCCTATGGGGTGCTGTGGGGTCCTGTGGGGTCCTATGGGGTCCTGTGGGGTCCTATGGGGTTTTATGGGGTGCTATGGGGTTCTTGGGGGATTTTTGGGTCCTGTGGGGTCCTATGGGGTGCTGTGGGGTCCTATGGGGTCTTATGGGGTCCTATGAAGTCCTGTGGGGTCCTATGGGGTCTTATGGGGTCCTATGAAGTCCTGTGGGGTCCTATGGGGTGCTATGGGGTTCTATGGGGTTGTATGGGGTCTGTTGGGTCCAATGGGATCTTATGGGGTCTGTGGGGTGCTATGGGGTCTTATGGGTTCCTATGGGGTCCTATGGGGTCCTGTGGGGTCCTGTGGGTTCCTATGGGGTCCTATGGGGTGCTATGGGGTTTTATGGGGTGCTATGGGGTTCTTGGGGGATTTTTGGGTCCTGTGGGGTCCTATGGGGTGCTGTGGGTTCCTATGGGGTCTTATGGGGTCGGATGGGTTCGTGTGGGGTCCTATGGGGTCTTATGGGGTCCTATGGCGTCCTGTGGGTTCCTATGGGGTTCTATGGGAGCCTTATGGTACATCGGGTGGGTAGGGCGGCCCTCAACGAAGGCTGGCAATTAAGGCGTGCTGTTAATTGGCTGCAGGGAGGGCCGCGATCAGTCGCTGGTGGTGAGCGGTGAATCCGGGGCCGGCAAAACCGTGTCGGCCAAATTCGCCATGAGGTTCTTCGCCACCGTCGGCGGCGGCTGCGGGGCCGTGGAGAGCAGGGTGCTGGCGGCCGGGCCTGTGCTCGAGGTGGGGCTATGGGGTGCTGTGGGGTGCTGTGGGGTGCTATGAGGTCTTATGGGGTCCTATGGGCTTTTATGGGGTCTTATGGGGTCCCATGGGGTCTTATGGGGTCCTATGGGGTCCTATGGGGTTCTATGGGGTCTTATGGGGTGCTGTGGCGTCCTATGGGTGCTATGGGGTCCTATGGGGTTTTATGGGGTGCTATGGGGGCCTATGGGGTGCTATGGGGTCTTATGGGGTCCTATGGGGGCCTATGGGGTGCTATGGGGTCCTATGGGGCTCTATGGGGTCCTATGGGGCTCTATGGGGCTCTATGGGGTCTTATGGGGCCGTGGAGAGCAGGGTGCTGGCGGCCGGGCCTGTGCTCGAGGTGGGGCCTGTGGGGTGCTATGGGGTGCTATGGGGTGCTATGAGGTGTTATGGGGTGCTATGGGGGCCTATAGGGGCCTATGAGGGCCTATGGGGTGCTATGGGGTGCTATGGGGTGCTGTGGGGGCCTATGGGCTGGTATGGGGTGCTATGGGGCTCTATGGGGGCCTATGGGGTTCTATGGGGTCTTACTAGGTGTTATGGGGGCCTATGGGGACCTATGGGGCTCTATGGGGGCCGATGGGGTGCTATGAGGTCTTATGGGGTGCTATGGGGTCTTATAGGGTCTTATGGGGTCTTATGGGGTCCCATGGGGTCTTATGGGGTCTTATGGGGTCCTATGGGCTCTTATGGGGTCTTATGGGGTCCTATGGGGTCCCATGGGGTCTTATGGGGTCCTATGGGGTCTTATGGGGTCTTATGGGGTCCTATGGGGTCCTATGGGGTCCTATAGGGTCCTATGCGGTCCTATGGGGGCTTATGGGGGATTATGGGGTGCTATGGGGTGCTATGGAGGCTTATGGGGGCCTATGGGGGCCTATGGGGTTCTATGGGGTGCTATGAGGTGCTATGGGGTGCTATGCGGTCTATGGGGCTCTATGGGGTGCTATGGGGTCCTATGGGGTGCTATGCGGTCTATGGGGCTCTATGGGGTGCTATGGGGTCCTATGGGGTGCTATGGGGTGCTATGGGGGCCTATGGGGTGCTATGGGGTCTTATGTGGTCCTATGGGGGCCTATGGGGGCCTATGGGGTCCTATGGGGTCCTATGGGCTCTTATGGGGTTCTATGGGGTTCTATGGAGGCCTATGGGGGCCTATGGGACTCTATGCAGGCCTATGCAGGTCTATGGGGGCCTATGGGGTGCTGTGGGGTGCTATGGGGTCCTATGGGGACCTATGGGGTCCTATGGGGGCCTATGGGGGCCTATGGGGTGCTGTGGGGTGCTATGAGGTCTTATGGGGTCCTATGGGCTCTTATGGGGTCTTATGGGGTCTTATGGGGTCCTATGGGGCCTTATGGGGTCCTATGGGGTCCTATGGGGGCCTATGGGGTCTTATGGGGTCCTATGGGGTCCTATGGGGTCCTATGGGGTTCTATGGGGTCTTATGGGGTGCTGTGGCGTCCTATGGGTGCTATGGGGTCCTATGGGGTTCTATGGGGTGCTATGGGGTCCTATGGGGTCCTATGGGGGCCTATGGGGACCTATGGGGTCCTATGGGGTCCTATGGGGGCCTATGGGGTCCTATGGGGTCCTATGGGGGCCTATGGGGTGCTATGCGGGCCTATGGGGGCTCTATGGGGTGCTATGGGGTCTTATGGGGGCCTATGGGGCTCTATGGGGGCCTATGGGGGCCTATGGGGTCTTATGAGGTCTTATGGGGTCTTATGGGGTGCTATGGGGGCCTATGGGACTCTATGGAAGCCTATGCAGGCCTATGGGGGCCTATGGGGTGCTGTGGGGTGCTATGGGATCTTATAGGGTCTTATGGGGTCCTATGGGGCTCTATGGGGTCTTATGGGGCCGTGGAGAGCAGGGTGCTGGCGGCCGGGCCTGTGCTCGAGGTGGGACCTATGGGGTGCTGTGGGGTGCTATGGGGGCCTATGGGGCTCTATGGGGTACTATGAAGTCTTATGGGGTGCTATGGGGTGCTATGGGGTGTTATGGGGGCCTATGGGGGCGTATGGGGGCCTATGCAGGCTTATGGGGTGCTATGTGGGCCCATAGGGTCCTATGGGGCTCTATAGGGGCCTGTGCGGGCCTATGGGGTGCTATGGGGTCTTATGGGGTCTTACTAGGTATTATGGGGGCCTATGGGGTCCTATGGGGGCCTATGGGGTCTTATGGGGTCCTATGGGGGCCTATGGGGTCCTATGGGGTCCTATGGGGTCTTATGGGGTGCTATGGGGTCCTATGGGGTCCTATGGGGGCCTATGGGGTGCTATGCGGGCCTATGGGGTCCTATGGGTTCCTATGGGGTCTTATGGGGTCTGATGCGTTCCTGTGGGGTCCTATGGGGTCTTATGGGGTCCTATGGGGTCCTGTGGCTTCCTATGGGGTCTTATGGGGCTCTTTGGGGTCCTATGGTGTATTATGGGGCTTTATGGGCTTGTATGGAGTCCTATCGGGTCTTATGGGGTCCTATTGGGTCTTATGGGGTCCTATGGGGCTCTATGGGATTTTATGGGGTCCTGTGGGGTCTCATGGGGTGCTACGGGGTCCTGTGGTGTATTAGAGCGTTCTATGGGGTCTTATGGGGTGCTATGGGGGCCTATGGGGGCTGTGGGGGCCTATAGGGGCTATGGGGTGCTATGGGGTTCTATGAGAGCCTATGGGGTGCTATGGGGTCCTATGGGGCTCTATGGGGCTCTATGGGGTCTTATGGGGCCGTGGAGAGCAGGGTGCTGGCGGCCGGGCCTGTGCTCGAGGTGGGGCTATGGGGGCCTATGGGGTGCTGTGGGGTGCTATGAGGTGTTATGGGGTGCTATGGGGGCCTATAGGGGCCTATGAGGGCCTATGGGGTGCTATGGGGGCCTATGGGGTTCTATGGGGTGCTATGGGCTGCTGTGGGGGCCTATGGAGGCCTGTGGGGTGTTATGGGGTCCTATGGGGGCCTATGGGGGCCTATGGGGTGCTGTGGGGTGCTATGAGGTCTTATGGGGTCCTATGGGCTCTTATGGGGTCTTATGGGGTCCTATGGGGTCCCATGGGGTCTTATGGGGTCTTATGGGGTCCTATGGGGTCCTATGGGGTTCTATGGGGTCTTATGGGGTGCTGTGGCGTCCTATGGGTGCTATGGGGTCCTATGGGGTTCTATGGGGTCCTATGGGGGCCTATGGGGGCCTATGGGGGCCTATGGGGGCCTATGGGGTGCTATGGGGGCCTATTGGGCTCTATGGGGTCCTATGGGGGCCTATGGGGGCCTATGGGGGCCTATGGGGGCCTATGGGGTGCTATGGGGGCCTATTGGGCTCTATGGGGGCCTATGGGGGCCTATGCGGGGCTATGGGGCCTATGAGAGCCTATGGGGTGCTGTGGGGTGCTATGGTGGCCTATGGGGGCCTATGGGGTGCTATGGGGGCCTGTGGGGGCTGTGGGGGCCTATGTGGTTGAGGTCTTATGGGGTGCTATGGGGGCCTATGGGGGCCTATGGGGCCTATGCAGGCCTATGGGGTGTTATGGGGCTCTGTGCGGGGCTATGGGGGCCTATGGGGTCCTGTGGGAGCCTATGGGAGTCTATAGGACTCTGTGTGGGCCTATGAGGGCCTATGGGGTGCTATGGGGTGCTGTGGGGTGCTTTGAGGTCTTATCGGGTGCTATGGGGGCCTATGCGAGCCTATGGGGTTGTATGGGGTGCTGTGGGGTCTTATTAGGTCTTATGGGGTGCTATGGGTTGTTGTGGGGTGATATGGGGTTCTATGGGGTGCTATGGGGGGATATGGGGTTCTATGGGGTTCTATGGGGTCCAATGGGGTCCTATGTGGTGCTGTGGGGCCGTGGAGAGCAGGGTGCTGGCGGCCGGGCCTGTGCTCGAGGTGGGGCCTATGGGGTGCTATGGGGTGCTGTGGGGTGCTATGGGGTCTTATAGGGTCTTATGGGGTGCTATGGGGGCCTATGGCGTGCTGTGGGGGCCTATGGGGTGCTACGGAGGCCTATGGGGGCCTATGGGGTCTTATGAGGTCTTATGGGGTGCTATGGGGTGCTATGTGGGCCTATGGGGTGCTATGGGGTGTTATGGGGGCCTATAGGGGCTGTGGGGGCCTATGCAGGCTTATGGGGTGCTATGCGGGCCCATAGGGTCCTATGGGGCTCTATAGGGGCCTGTGCGGGCCTATGGGGTGCTATGGGGTCTTATGGGGTCTTACTAGGTATTATGGGGGCCTATGGGGGCCTATGGGGTGCCATGAGGGCCTATGGGACTCTATGCGGGCCTATGGGATCGTAAGGGGTGCTATGGGGGCCTATGGGGTGCTATGGGGGGCTATGGGAGTCTGTACGACTCTATGTGGGCCTATGAGGGCCTATGGGGGCCTATGGGACTCTATGTGGGCCTATGGGGTGCTATGGGGTGCTATGGAGGCCTATGCGGGCCTATTTTGTCCTATGGGGTCCTATGGGGTCTTATGAGGTCTTATGGGGTCTTCGGGGGCCTATGGCGTGCTGTGGAGGCCTATGGGGCCCTATGGGGTGCTATGGGGTGCTGTGGGGTGCTATGAGGTCTTATGGGGTGCTATGGGGGCCTATGGGGTGTTATGGAAGCCTATGGGGCCTATGGGACTCTATGGGGGCCTATGGGTTGTTGTGGGGTGATATTGGGTTCTATGGGGTGCTTTGGGGGGATATGGGGTTCTTTGGGGATCTATGGGGGCCTATGGGGCCTATGGGGCTCTATGGGGGCCTATGTGGTGCTGTGGGGCCGTGGAGAGCAGGGTGCTGGCGGCCGGGCCTGTGCTCGAGGTGCGGCCTATGGGGTGCTATGGGGTGCTATGGGGTGCTATGAGGTGTTATGGGGTGCTATGGGGGCCTATGGGGGCCTATGAGGGCCTATGGGGTGCTATGGGGGCCTGTGGGGGCCTATGGGGTCCTATGGGGTCCTATGGGGGCCTATGGGAGCCTATGGGGTGCTGTGGGGTGCT